CATCCATCCATCCATCCATCCATCCATCCATCCATCCATCCATCCATCCATCCATCCATCACAGTAACCCTGGACGATCAGAATCTAGTTAAAGCTCTTTCTTCGTGCCCAGGTCAATCAAACAACAGAAGAATGTTTGAACTTCAGCTCAGTAGATGAAAAACCAGTTCATGATTCCCCAGAAACTGAATGAAAGAAAAATGAAGACAATCTGACGAGTCAAACTGTTGATGAGAAAAACAGCAGCTGTCAGTTAACTATTATAAAAGCTTTCATTTTCAGCCTGTTTGATGTGTTTAAAGATTTGATGTATTTTCTGTTGATGGGTAAACTCCCTCAGAGACTCTGGTACGTTTAGCTGCCATAACATTTTTAGACTCTAATGGTTTGGATGAAGTCTCAATGACATGACAACCATGGAGCATAAATACGGCAGACCTGGCTGCTTTTAACCTGGAGAACCAAAGGAGCCAAAGGAGCAGCACCATGGCCTGGATCACAAGAATGCAGCTCCAACGGGTGCTGATAAAACAGCTGCATGGTGCAGCAAAGACAGAGCTGCAGGAATCAGCGCCGTCTTGATGGTGGTCCCTCTAATGCCCCAGTTTGTGTTCAGTTTGTACAACTGGTTGTACAAACTGAACAGGTTATTTTGAAATGTCAAAAACACCACTTTATTTTTCCTTCTAACTTCAGCCAAAAACCCAACAGGTATCATGACGGTTTCTGTTGATGACCTTGACTCTCTGATTAGTGAGGAGCCAACAATCTGTCAACACGCTGGAGAGAAGAATGCAACGATTTGTCGGCAGCATTAAAGTCAAACATCTGGTCGATTCAACGCAATCACAGAACAAAGTCAGCAAACAGGACCTGGAGATGTTGTTCTGCTGGTTCTTCTGCTCTCAGCCTCCACCAGCAGAACTGCTATCTTTGCTGGAAGCTATAATTAGGCCTTTATTAATAAGCTCATGCTGATGCTCCAGTTTTAAACAGCGTTCAAGTCTTATAATTGTTCACTTACTTCCTGTTTATCACCATAAGAATAATCAACTGGTTTCATCAAAGTTTCAGTTTTGAACACCCCCTCTCAGACTCTGCATTGTTGTGTTATATTTTCTCTTTTTGATAAGAGTGAAGATTTTTTTTACCTCTACTGAAATCTTCACCAAGGGGCCCCCTACTGCTTTTTGTCAGAAGTACAGAGCGACAAAATGAACTCTCTGCATTTAACCCATCCTCTTGGGGAGCAGTGGGCTGCCGTTGTGCGGTGCATGGGGGGCAGTGTCGGGTTAAGGGTCTTGCTCAGGGACCCAGAGTGGCAGTCTGTGGGAGTGGGGCTTGAGCTCAGAACCTCTGGATTTGAGGCGCAATGCCCTAACCACTAGGCCCAGAGGTCTTCAACGGGGGGTCCGTGACCCCTAGGGGGTCCAAGGAGGTACTGCATGGGCGTTGCAAAACTTTTGGTTGATTTGATTTTTTTTTTATATTCCCTCCTGTAATTTTTTCCACTAATTGAAATGTCTGTAACTCCACATTAGCATGAATTCAACAGACTGTAGTAAAAAGATAAATGGAGGCAGAAGATGTCTTTCAGTCATCATTCAGCAGCACACAGGAGCTCTTTCAAGCTGGGCACCGTTTCATTCACAACACCTGTCCCATCAACCAGGAATCAGAAATACTTTAATAATCCCAGGGAGGGATTACTTTAGTTACTGTACATGACTCCATCTGAGTGACTATAGGACCAGTTTGAAATAACACAATTTCATACAATGTGTCATGATTTCATCTAAAGCTTGGACCCACATGCAGTGAAACCAATTCAGAGAGACTCAGATGAAAGTTTAACAGGTTTTATTGAAGAGATTAAGCTTGGTGCGGTGTTGCTCTGAACTCTGCTCAGCCGGAACTGGAAGGTGAAGGGAAGACAGACTATTAGTTCAGGCTCAGTGGGAAATTTTATAAGTTGATTTGAAGAAGAGGATCTGGTTGTAGACTCACATTTCCAGAGAAGTGAAGGATCTTTGACTCCAATCTTTGTGTTGTTTTCCAGAGTTAGTCTGATTCGGTGGAGGGCGGAATAGGGTTTACCCAGAACTTGGACGGTTTAGGGGAACGGTTTAGGGGAACGGAGACGCTGACTGCCCCTCAGATTTCCTGCTGAGACTGGATCCAAACCTCCTGTTTGAATCCCTGGCTCAGTTTAAGGCTCAGTTGATCCCTCTTGGGAGTGGAGGTCCGAAAAGGTCCAGTTAGCAGGATGACTTCCTGCCGAGAGG